AACTTCAAACATCATTTTCACCGTTGGTGCAACCAGATAACCATATGGTGAAAGAGTTTGACACTAGAAAAAGATATCAGCTATAGAATGAAGTGATTTTCTTTGGCCCTTTTTTTGCCTGTTTCTCCCTTTTTACTTTTAAACTTGGCGCGACGGCAATGTTATGCTTACGCAATTGGTTCATTTACTAGATCGGAAATAAAAAGCTGACCGAATGTTAAATTTTGTGCTCATGCACAGTGCGTTTTGCCGCGGTGTTGGATCCACCACTGGTAGAGAAACAATCGCCCCATGTAAAGTGATCCAAGACAGTCTTAAGTGGATTCTGGATTCGAAGCTATTGATTGCAGATTCCAGGCATTAGATTCTGGATTCCAATCGTTAGGGGAATTTTCGGATTCCTTGAGCTTCATTAACAGGATTTCGGATTCCACAAGTTTCACCGTCTTGCCGGATCATGGATTAAGCAAAAATTTGCCGAATTCCGGAATTATCCGGATTACGTAAAATGAGGCGCGAAGAATACTACCTAGGCGTACCTTTGCTGAATCTTGTCCCAGTGCTTTGTACAAATGGAAGTTCACTCCGTCTTCACTGTACTGTAACCTGTACTTGGTAACCCATTGGCTCATATCACTTCTGCCCTGAGTCGCTATGCGAGTCACTGTGGTATATGTTCCAAGATCAACCTGAAGCCACTGATAAATGTCATTTTTTAAAGAGCTCCAGGCTCCTTTCTTGCTTCCGAACTTTCTCCTATTCAATCGAGCTCTGTGTGGACCATTATTGTCATGCCACTGAGAAGAGGCACTTATCTGGGCATCAGAGATTGCTCCATTTTCCATACCAAGTGGAGCTATACAACCTGTAATACAGTCAATAACGATAACTAGAAATTAAAATGTTGGAGCATTATGGTAGAGGACCCTTGACAGTAGGACAATATAGTTACAGATCAAAGTAATAACAGCGGAAAATATAAATACAGAGCAAAAACGTGGCGGAGAGGAGCAGGTCATCTCTTAAAAACGCTCTGAAGGTTACTCTGACTGAAGAAGACATAGTTGGTGCATTAGGCTCTTTGGGAGCTCTGTAGTACATTTTGAGTAAAGAATAGTTGTATTTCTTAACTTATCACTGCAGTTTGTAACGACATGTAGCGTTGCGACATGTTTGTTGACTTTCATGCTGTGTCTCCAAACGATCCCAAGAAACTTTGTGGTCGTATATCGTATCCAGTTTTTTTTTTCACTTTTTCAGAACATGGCGAATTATCATGCATGTGGGAAGAAGGGGGCGGAATCGGAATATTAAATGTTGAATATTGAGTTTAGATTAGTTTGAATATTTGAAAATTTAGTTTGAATATGAATAAATGTACTTTTTTCACGACTTAGATCTGCCACCCTGACAAAATAACATCAGTTCCGCGTTTAGTTGCTTTCTGGAGTAGCCAATAGATAAAAATCGAAATCGATAAAAATCGTTAGCGATCAATCGATTTTATCGATTGATAACGGAAAACGGTGAAAAGCTATCTAAGGAAATCTTTTAGCCTGAATTTCAGGCATCCCTTCGACTCTAGACACTCTAGAGGATGTCTAAAATTCTGGCTGGGAAATCTTTTATCTAAGGTCGTATTTCTCGTGGTACTTGCCTGCCAGAACTGCGAATGTAATTGAACCGAACCGTTCTTGTTATTATGTGCAAAAGGGTCACGGTTTTAGAGAGAATCTTGCGTCTGTAATAGTTTCCACATTTCTTATTTTCATGTTTGTTGATCAGTTGTTACTCGTGGATGTGTTTTCTCAGCTGTACTATGTAACTTATGTCAACAAACAACAATGTCGGACTTACCGTTATAAATCTATAAAAGCACGAAAAATCGATAATATCGATTTGACACAGCAATTTAGTCCATCAGTTTCCACCGATTTCCGTTATCAATCGATAAAAATCACTTGTTTGCTATCGATTTTTTATCCATACTGATTTTTATCGATTGACCACTCCGGGTGCAAGTTAGAAGAGAAATGATGAGATTTAGAATACGACTGAGGGCAAAAAAAAAAGGAAAAAAAAGTAAGACTCTTGAGGAAACTATAATGCTGAAAGCCAATCAGATTGCAGGGGCCACCAATGATTTCAAAATGGATGTAATAAATAAAACAGTACCTCGGCAACCGTAGATTTCCACTCTCATCGTTATGCGCGTGCGTTTAATCCATGCCACAGGCACAACTCGAATATATCGTGCCAAGATGGGTTCATTCAGTCGGTAATGAAAAATTTTATTGGGACGGCCAGAATTCCCAGTAAACACCTGGAAAAAGAATCATTTACGTGTATGATAATACTAAGCAGTCCTTTGAGGCAGGGCGGCTTAGCAGTAAGAATGCTGGAACTGTAATCCCGAGGCCCCGAGGACTTTAGTCGCTTAGTTGCAGTGGCGCAAGGTCGAAAATGTTTCTCTGAAATTAATAAACATCATTGCACAAAACATAGAATTAAGACTTGTAATATAACTGGATAAAAATGTAGATTTCTGCCACTCACGTCAAGAGTACTAACAATATCACACTGCTTCAATTCCCCTTCAGCTTGGAGAGCGGCCATTATTTACCCGTACTTAAGCAAAATCGACGGCCACGGCTACAAAAACGTCACTTAAGAAGTGACAGAATTCGCGCTGCTTCAAACTTTATGGTCCTAAGTACTGTAAGAAAATTCAGGAAAAGAAAAAGAAAGTTGTTGTCTTGTGTTCCCGTCCTCGACAAAACGTGAATTTAGGCACGTTCACGTTCTGGTCGTGAAACGACGGCAAAGAAATGTACTAAAAAACGTGATTCACGAGCAAAGTTCTTGTTTTGCTAATCAAACCTATTGCTTTCTTGCCGTCCTCTTTGCCGTTGCCGTCGCCGTCATCGTTGCTTAAGCTCAATATTTAGCAAGTCCATCGTACCTTTGCATTCGAATTACCAGGCTCTTTGTAAAATCGCCATATGACTCCGTCAGAGCTATACCGGATCTTAAACTTTGTCACCCGCCAGTTTGAGCATCTGTATCCACTTCCCTGAGTCGCGACAAGTGTTACTTTGGTGTAACCACCAAGGTCCACTTGAAGCCACTGGCGAAGATCATTTGTAGCAGCTGCCCAACATCCTTTATAATTTAGCCTTGCCTTTTTTGCAGAATAATGACGGTCCTTGGTATTATAATGCGAAGATGCACTTATTTGAACATCAGAAATGTCCCCGCTTTCCATTCCTAGAGGATCTATATATTTCAAGCAAAAAATAAGTCAAACAAGGAAACAAACAATAGAAAATAGTCAAGAGGTAGTGGAATTTCGTAGCCCACTTAGACAAGACCTCAAAGTACCCTATGGCAAGGGTCGACAATGTTAGGCTGCTATGACTCTACGTTATTGATTAAGTGTTTTTTTCCCTGTGTTGGAAGTCAACTTTAAAGAAAAAGAGGCTAAAAACGCCATATAATAAAGAACTTATTAACCTCGTCCGTTTGGTCATTACAGGGAAATCTCAGACCGAAGCCTCGATGTATAAATAGGGAGCTTAAGCAACGAAGACGGCGACGGCAACGAAAACGGCAAAAAAGCAAAAGGTTTATATTAGCAAAACAACAATGCTGCACGTGCATCACGCTTTATTGTACATTTCTTTGCTGTTGTTGCACGCAGTTTTGTCGAGGACGGGAACACACAACAACAAGTTTCTTTTTCTTTCCTGAACTTTGCTACAGTCCTTCAGAAGTTAACTCCAAAAAAATCTGCCAACATTTCACGAATTAAACGAGACAGAATAAGCGTGATAGCGTGATAAAGTGGAGGCAGCGCGAATTCATTTTTTAAGTGACGTCTTCGTAGCCGTCACCGTCCGTGTTGCTTATAAGCTCCCTATTACATCAAGGCCTCGGTCTGAGATTTCCCTGTAATCTCGGACGTCAATCGCGGTTGATAAGTGGTGTTTGTAATCTACATCGATTTAAAAATTTGTTTAAAAGTGAAGTTTAAACAACACCTTCATTCGCCAGTCTTCGTCAAGGCTTGAAGCTACCGAGCGAAGTTACGTAAAAAGATGGCTCCCTCTGCCTGTCCTCGAGGTTGATGGCAATGAAAGGTAGGCCATATCCGAGTTCCCCTGGGCCTCTGTATCAAAACGACTAGTGCTCAGCCATTGATAGGGAGATGATTTTTCATTCTCATGCAAATAAAACTCAATTTCACAAGAATGGCTGTGCACTTGGCCTCATTTTGAAAGTGAGGGTTTTCGGAACTCGGAAGTGGCCTATTGCCTTTGAAAATTTGAATTGGAAACTACATTGTGCCTAGAAGAAGGCCAGTTGTTCTGAAACATCCTTACCGGAACACGTTAAGGCGTGATAGGAAGCTTGGAAACCGGAGAAAGATTTGTTGTTGTCCGTTTTAAAAACCACAAACATTTGGTTTGCTGAAGAATAGAGTCCACCCTGAGGGGGTGGGTGTTCTCCGTAAAACACTCCTAACACCTCCCCTGTGGTATTCCCTCCATCGTACACACGAATGACATCTGTGTTGTTTTCAGCCTGTAAACTGAAACTTGATGAGAACATCAAAAACACGTGCTGTGATTGGTTGACTCTGATATTCCAGGAACAGTAGGCCTCATTCGGGTAATTGTGCGGGAAATTCGGAGACTGAAGGACACCACTGTCTGCACCCACGTGAGTCTCGTTGCAAGCTTCGCATTCTAGGGTTACAGGATTTCCAAGTAATAAAATGATGAATACAGTAAGAATCTGCATTTTCCCAAGATAGCCGAACAGGTACTTACATAAAATAACAGTTAGCACAGTTACAAATTTAAGTTATTTAGGGTAGTTTCTTAAATAGGTTTATTTTCTAAAGAAAAAATACATTGTAGCTAAGAGTATTTAGTGGTATTCGCCTTGTTCCTTATACAAAATCTGCACACTAAATCAGCATTGCAGTTGGAGTGCGTGATGAGGCACCTATGTCTCCAAAGAGGATCCTAAATGTTGACTTATGTTTATTTACCCAAGTGTACAGAATTATTTTTTTATCGATTTTAGAAAATAAGAACATGTTTCAAATTTTAATGAATTTATTTTCCCTTTTTTTTTTCAAAATATTTCCCCAATTCTGATTGGATAAATGCACACCCATAATTCATCATAACCAGTTACTGATGACCAAATTTGGTAGAAGTTTGTGTTTAACGAGGAAATGACGTCAAAATGTAGTCCTCTACAGGTTAAGGCACCGTTAACCGAGAAGACCTGGGGACGAGGTTGAGTTGTTTTCGTTGTGAAAACTAAAATGGCGGACATTTCACTCGGACACTTCACATGGCAAGAACAGCAAGAAGACAACTCGAAGGGCGACATCTGCTATTTGGAGGAATATTTGCGGAGCTGAACAACCCTAAACGTGCACTATTGAAGATCAACTTAATGTCGACGGATCGATGGAGGTAAGCATGTTTTAGCCATGTTTTTAAACTAGGAATTATTTTGAATGAATAATAAAACAATTATTGCAGGAGGGTCCAAGAGGAGACAGAGGACGCGAAGAAGACGCAAGGGTAATGTATTGTAATGTATTCTAATGAATTTAAAACAAAAGAAAAACAAAAATTGACTGCAACTGAATCATTGGGTAATGCAATTCTAGAGCTCTGATTGGCTTAGCCATCATGGTATATGAGCCATTATACCATGCTCTCCAAATATGGTAACTACGCATCTGCTCAAAACTAAAAACAAGCTGAAAATCGGTTGTTTTAGTTACAAATAAAGTCGGGAAGGATTCTCGGTATTTTGTGGGCGTTTTTAATAAAACAATTATCCCACTCGCGCTTGTTGGATATGAGATGATTATAGCCAACTCGTTGGCTATCTACCATCTCATATCCAACGCGCACTCGTTGAATAATTGTTAAATATATCACTTTATTATACACCTACTGAGACTCACCAAAAAGCTATGTCGTAAATTTTCGTACGCAAATTAGTTCTAGTCAATCAGAGGAGCGAACGATGGTTTTCACACGTGAAAAAAAAAATGATACGTGCAATCAGAAGCCACAAAGGTGTGTGAGTTTCGCGCCAAAATTCCCGCCTGTCATTGCAGCTTGCACCCCCGCTTTTTTTGCACACATTTAACGAGAAAAGTTTTACTCAAAGAGTTTTTCTCGCTAAAAAAGTGAAAAACATTTCGGAAATGGAATGGAATAGTTTTGTTTGTTTCACTGTCGATAAAGAAAACGGTAGAGAGCGGGCGAAACAACAGCCGAAAGGGATAAACAGAACGAGACGTAAGCTTTTGTTGTGCTTTTTGTTGGGGCTACTTTTACCGGCCATTTTACTTAAATTCTCTCATGTTTAACTGTGCATTGAGAACAAACAGTAAAGATTACTTATAGTTCTTGGATTACCTCATATCCTCACCTTCATTTATGTTTTTAACAAAAGTTGTTACTAAAAAGCGGATACTTCGTTTTCGTTGTCATTTTGCGGTAATTGTGTAGCGGCAAATTTTAGCATTTTTGAAAGATTTAAAATAAAAAGGCCGCCAAAATGATGAATGTCTCAGTATGTATATAATACACACAATACCACATGGAAAGTGCTGGCGTACGGTATTTACGCACTTGTTTTTGTATCAGAAATCTTACTCGTTGACTCGTTCGCTACGAGCACTCGTTCGATTTCTGATTCGTCAACAACTCGTGCGTAAATACCGTACGCCAGCACTTTCCATGAAGTATTCTCTATACATCATCCACCGAATTCATACTGTGAAGACAATGGCATTTTCGAGGTTAACATTTGTCTCTAGTGTGCTGCGCACTTCGGCTAGTCACTTTTGATTTCCCATCAAAGCGCAAGATCTCGAAAATATAAAAGTCTATCTAGAAAAGTGAAAAGAATGGTGAACTCAACATGATCGACTTTACAGTGATGATGTAGTGATATATTTAGCAATTATTCCACTAGCGCTTGTTGGATATGAGATGATTATAGCCAACTCATATCCAACGCGCACTCGTGGAATAATTGTTAAATATATCACTACATCATCCGCCGAATTCATACTGCGAAGACAATGACAATTTCGAGGTTAACTTTTGTCTCTAGTGTGCTGCGCCAGTTCGGCTACTTCAATTTTGATTTCCCATCAAAGCGTAAAATCCCGAAAATAACAGTCTACCTAGAAAAGTGAAAAAGAATGGTGACCTCAACATGATCGACTTTACAGTGTTTGAAACAAATTTAAAAAAATCTGAAACGCTACCGTCGAATAACCAACATTGTAATGAAAAAACAACAAATCGCTGAAATTGAACAACGTTTGCTATTGCGCGAAATCCTGGACATAAAAAAGTCTACATAGCAAAGTGAAAAAAGAATAGTGAAATCAATAACACGTTCCAAAATTAAACTTGATTTTCTAAAGTAGTGATTTTCTGGCAAAATATAGCTGTTTCAATGAAGTTCTTACCAAACGCCCTCGTAAAGGAATCAATTATGGCAGCATCATTTAGAAATGCCTTACATTCTACCACTTTTTTGTTTTATCTGGTAAAATTTAGTACTCAGGGCATAACAGAAATTTCCATGTACCTTTACGCAGATAACATGCAAAGAGGAACATGGAAATTTCCATGTATCTTCTTAGTCAATGTACAAACGAACACTGAGATACATGCAAAAAGACGCCAGAAAATAATGAATAAAGCTTTCTTTAATTTTTGAAAACTTCTACATAGCCCGATGGAGTTTTTAGATACCAAAGTCTGTATTTTTCCGAATATTTGTCCATTTGGTTATGCCTTGCCCATCGGGGTCTCCGCTTCCTGCTGGGTTTCCTTTCTCTGTCATTTCTCTTATCGCCCGGCGAATGGTTTGGAGGCTGCTTGCTCTGATCCTCTGCAACGATGCATTAATACACTGGCGCTTTTCTTACAAGGCGCGGTAGATCCTATTAACACAATGACTGCAATTTTCACATTTGTTGTGTACGGTATATGATTAGCTGATTAAAGGATGACAACCCCATTTCCGGTCCCTTTATCCAGAAGTTTTTATCAAATATTACAAGCCTGTGTTGCAGTCGGCTTACTCATCGTCGGTTTTAGTTTTTCGTTTTGAGATACAAAGGAATTGAATTTAAAAGAACAGCGCAGTTGTTAATTGCCTTTGATTTGTGCTGAGTTAGTTGCTAAATTTTGCGGCCATGATTTAATACAGCATGACAGCACAAAGGGTCGAAGAAAACAAGGCGGTATTTGCTGAGTTGTCCGTTGGGTTTTTAAAGTTTGAAGACCGCGCGCAAGCAAGTCAAACAAAACAGACAAAAGACCGCCATGAGCAGTTTTACTGTGGTCTACGGGCTAAAAACTCAAATAGACCGATAAAAATAGGGTATTTTCATCTGAGTTTGGAAAACAGCCTCTCTGGAATAATAGCCGCACAAAATATCGTGCCCGCTTTAATACTCCACTGGATTTTACAATAACGTGTAACATGTTGTAATTACTTTAAACCCACATTTTTCTTTCGTCAGTCTTTTTCGCTTCGTCTCGTTTTTGCTTCCCTCAATTTTCCTTTAGCGTATTGTTTCTATGTAGTATTCAGGACTTTGTTACCTTTCATTTTTTTTCGTCTGTATTTGAAGCGTTTGATTGACCTCACTCAGGCTCTCCTGAGCAGTTGCCTTGAGAAATCTCTTTGCAAAATCTTGATCGCCTTCTTTCACCACAGCCATTTTCCCTAATTAAAACTCCACTGATGTTGTACGAGTCTCTAATTCTTACGTCTCAAAACATGGAGCGTGTGACTCCGCAGTATAAAATAAATTCCTTAATTACTGTGCGAGTTAACAATTTGAGTTATTTGTTTGCGGCATTGCTTTCTCACTGCTAATTGGTCTTTCATGGTCTTTTCCGCGCAACACAATACTTCAGCTATCAAAGACTTCCTGAGTGATAACGTGCTTGCTCCAATTTACTATTGTGTCATATCGGGTACCGTCACGAAAGCATGACTGTTATTATAAAACGCGGGCAATTATGTTTGTTCGAGGCAAGCGCGCGTCAAGATGATCCTAAAAACGGGAAAGAAATTTGGATTGAGTGGCCATGAAGACAACTTCAAAGCGTACATATGACAAATCAACGGAGTGACTTCTTAAGACGAGTCGCCTTGAAGTCAAGTGATCTTTACTAATCTACTGGGCAAGAAGATGCAAAGCCATATATATGACTTTAAAGGAAGATTTTGAAACCGAAAAGTCCAACCATCAGGTCTTAAATATTCAGCTCGCGGGAGTCAAAATCCAAGTGACCTGTATGTAATTACACTTCCGTCAAGAATCCCAGCTCTCACCTGAAATATGGTAAGAAACAATGAACTAAACTACAGAATAAAACCTATATTCACTGTATACAGCCGGTCACTTATAACCATATCATTAAGTAACAAGAGAATCACCTGTTATTTGTCCTTATTTCGTTGTTCAATTAAGTTGAAGATACTCCACTTTGTATAATTCATAGTAAACTGTGCTTGATCTTCAGTAAGTCCGCTTTTGCAGTACGCGTCACAGACTCTACCCGAGTAACACATTCCCACTTAATTTCCTAGGTTCAGGGACCCAGCGAGAATATAGTTCAAAACCACTTAGACATAGCATTGTTTAACGTATTTTAGCATTTAAACGGCAGATATAAGCATATTTTTATCCCCTAAAAATTCTTCATCTGTTCGGATTTCCCAGCTGAAAGTCTAGTGATCCAAAAATTATAGGGATCAAAACATACCTCTTCGAAAATTTCAGCCAGAAAAAAGGCTACCGAAAATTCTAGGTGACCCTTTTAGGGTAAAAATCCGTTAAAAATGGGCAATTATACCATTCTTTTAGATGTTCGAAAATCCAAGGAGAGGCAGGCAAGCAAGAAATTTTACAACAAATGTTCCAAAAATTCTAGTTCTCAAATCGTCTTTCGAACAGTTGATTTTCCGAAAATTGACGTTGGGTGCCCCTGTAGGGCTTTGCAAAAACCTCGAACATGATTTCATTTGTTCATTTCAGTACTTGCAGGTTCTAACATCGCGAAGAAGCACCTGTGGGGACAAAGACCTGTCAGTTTCGCTTTTCATTTTCCACCTGGTATCGTACATAACTTCATGCACTTGAAAAGACTAGATTTGATTTTGCCTTTAATGTTGTGGACATCTTATGTAAAATAGGGAAATTAATGGGTCATAAATTTTGCAACGCTTTAATTTGTAATTTGACTAATTTATGAATTGGAAGGACCACACTTATACTGAACTCACCGACAGACTATGTCATATGCATTTGTTTAATATATGTATAAAACGAATCAGTACTATATTTCTAGAGTTTTAAAATCTATAAATTTCATTTGACCTGTTGTTGAGAAAACGTAAACGCTAATAATTTCTAAGTTAAATATATTTCATAACAAAACTCTTTTGTAGTGTGAAAGATTCTCAAGCCGGGATGAGTTGTTTCGGTTGATGTGTTGATGCTAAAAGGTAAATTATCGGATACTATACTTCTCCTTACGGCATTATTAAGCTTGTGCGAGTATCAATGTGCGAAAATCTGAGCATTTCCATGTGCAGTTTTGTCAACGTTTACGGGAGGTCCATGAAATTTCCATGCTACTATTGATCAGCTTGTCACGAGGTACATGGACATTCATTTGCGAGTTCCGCTTGATGTCTGTCGCCCGATTCAGGCACCTAAGATCCTGGTGTCTGAATAGGACTTTTATAAGTCAACACTAAGTAGACAACATGGATTTAGATGCTTATATCCAAAAAAGCGCTTTTTCAGCTTTATTTTACTGATTTAATGTGAGTCCAGTTCAAACACTCTCTAATACTAGAGCACCCTTCCTACAAAATTGCATGAAGAGGTAAAATCTTGTTTGACCGTTTGATTCCGAACTTTTGTCTTTTTCAGAAAAAAAAGCTAGTCAGAACAATATTGTAAACCAGTTCGCATATCTTGCTTCACATGGCCTGAAATGTGGAGTACGTATGAAGGAAGGAGCGTTTATGTGAAAGAGTAAGCACTCGTTGAACTTATCCTTTAAACATGGCCGTGTACGTTCTTAGTAATCTTTCAGGAGTGTAAAAATGTTCTGTATTAAAGGAAAACGATGTTACGAAAGAGCAAATGAATACATTTGCAAGGTAAAGTAAACTTTATTTTAAACGTTCAATTTCATAAACAGATGACCCACTTTTCGTGCACCAAATTTGATTTTGTTTTTTAAGGTTCTGTTAACATTCGGAATCACTTTTAAGTTCTTAATTTACATTTTTTAAATCGTCTTAGTAAGCTCTGGCGTACGGTGGATTAATTTCAAGTACCTATAATGGGCCTTTTGCGAGGAACATGGAAATTTTCATGATCCTTTTAAACAGCTTGGTCGCGGCGAGGAACATGGAAATTTCCATGTTCCTTTTAACCAACTTCGTCGCAAGGAACATGAAAATTTCCATGTTCCTTTTAACCAACTTGGTCGTAAGGAACATGGAAATTTTCATGTTCCTTGCGACAATTTCTTTCAACAAGCTTATCCGAAGGAACGTGGAAATTTCCATGTTCCTTGCGACAATTCCTTTTAATCAACTTAGGCGAGGGAACATGGAAATTTTCATGTTGTTTTTAACCAGCTTTGTCGCAAGGAACACGGAAATTCCCATGTACCTTACGACAAAGCTGGTTGAAAAGAACATGGAAACTTTTAACTAGATCTGCCTGAAAATTTCCACTTTCAACTTTTTAAAGGAAAGATATACTAAAAATATTGATATTTCTGACAGATTGTTTAATTTTTTGCAAAGAGGAATCCTTTGAGGCGTTTCAGCTCTAAAAAAACTGTAGCTTTAGTCATTTTTGCACATAATTCCCATTTAGGGGGCATTATTTACCCTATTTATTTCCTTTTTGGTAAAAATTTAAAAGTATTTAAAAGTTTCTACCGTAATCTGTTGGCAATTATATTTAATTGGAGTGCCTTCATTTCCACTTTTGAAGATTTAAATAAAGTACTTGCAAGATTTCATAAGATTCTACTTTTTCTTAACCTAACGCAATAATGCAGTATTTGGCAAAATGTAAGCAATCAAAGTTAAATTGCGACGAAAAACGTTCCACTGTTTCAAAATTTAGCGCAAATGGGTCATTTTTTACCAAATTTCTTGTATTTTTTTGTAAAAAATATGACCAAAATCATCCGTTTTTGCAAGAAATGCTACTTTGGAATATCAAGTTTAACTTTGGAACGTGTTCAACATGATCGACTTTACAGTGTTTGAAAAAAAAAATAATAAAAAAAAGACTGAAACTATACCGTCGAATAACCAACATTGTATTGAAAAAAAAAAAAATTTCCCCTGGAAGCGTTTTTAATAAAACAATTATTCCACTCGCCCTTGTTGGATATGAGATGATTATAGCCAAATCCAACGCACACTCGTGGAATAAATGTTAAATATATCACTTTATTATATAAACACCAATGAAATACCAGGTGAGCTTTTGCGCGAAAACTTGATATCTTCACTTGTGAAAATAAATGTTATCTTCACGTGTGAAAATATCACCGTTGCTATGGCTACATAATAGATCGCGTCTTTCACACCAAAAAACTATTAAAGTGAAATGGTTTGGTAGTTCATTGGTGTTTATATAATAAATAGAACATTACATGGCCGCTTGGAGGTACGAAATTTCTCTTCTCGTGTTGAAAAAATATTTCGCTCGTTCGCTGCGCTCACTTGTGAAATAGTTTCAACACTCGAAGAGTAGCCTGCGTAGCTGGCGCACCCACATAATACCGCCAGCTACGCAGGCTACTCGAAGAGAAATTTCGTATCTCCGCGCGGCCATGTAATATCCTCTATACATCATCCGCCGAATTCATACTGCGAAGACAATGGCAATTTCGAGGTTAACTTCGAAATTGAACAACGTTTGCTCTTGTAATGAACAAGGGTATTTGATCACAGATCAGAGGAGCAAACTCTTTTTCAAAGCTAGTTTAAAGCTGTATGTGATGCTGAAAATCTTTTTAACACCTACTTTTTTTCTACGAAATTCTGAAGCAAATATAGTACTTACTTGACAATATGTATACCAACGTAAGCAGGCTGACAGCTTTCCAGAGTATCATCTCTGTTCAGGAGAAATCCGTTCTGCTGACAATGAATATTGGTAAAAGAAAGAGATATTAAAGGGAAAGTTTTGCTGTGACGTCCAAACACCCGCTGAAGTAGGTTAAGGTAAGGTTAAACCATTTATGGCTGAGTGGCATTTAGAACTAGAGCTAGAAGGGATTGTTTCAGTTGTTTGGATAATCAAAGGCTCATGAAAATAGGCCCCTTTCGATCTATTAAAATTTAGCAGTCCGAGTCGAGTGCATAAATAAGTTATTTTAGAAAATTGTGTTAATTTCCATGTAAGAGAACACAAAAGAAAATGACTAAACATGTCCTCTAAGACTCGCTATCATGATGAATTTTAATTTATCGAGAGTGACCTTTTGGCACTGTTGGCCAGAACCTCTTTAGAACGTCTAATTTGATGATAGGTTCTTGTTTTGACAAGCAACATTGTATCAATGGTCTTCATAAAATATAACATTTTCGATGTTCAGATTTTCAATCACGTAACGACGTAATCTGCAAAATGAACATTAACGATTTTCCGGTTTGTTCTAACAAAATAAAGCCGGGGAGATTCATCGAGATTTTGTGGGCGTTTTTAATAAAACGATTATTCCACTCGCGCTTGTTGGATATGAGATGATTATAGCCAACTCGGCGCCTCGTTGGCTATCTACCATCTCATATCCAACGCGCACTCGTGGAATAATTGTTAACTAGCGTTATTTGTTACAGGGGTTAGGTAACTGTGAAACTTAAGTGATAAATACCAGAAACGTGACCTGTATGTCTTAGTTTTTAAGAACGTGATTTTTCTGAGCCGTGTAGTCCCGAGGGTACGTTTCGTACTAAAATCCAAAAACGATCATTGATCAAAATGATCGGAGGGTGGAGTTTTTTGGATCTTATATATTAAACACGGCACACGTAAAACATTCCGGGCTCGGTAAGATTAACGGGACCTTCGAGAAACGGGCCCCTGGCACCCGAAAATAAAAAACAGGAACTCGGAACTGCTGAGCAGGAAGGCCCAGTTCTGACTTCCGATAGTTGACTTTTCCATTTGGGTTATTAATCAATTTTGATGCCCTTGAAAGATAATATTTTGTGTAATAAAATATTGTCTGGAGAAATTTGGAGACGTTGGCAGGGCTACAAAAAACAATACAGTTCAGACCACTTTCGACTTCCGACTTCCGACTTCCGAGTCCTTTCGACGTCTCAATCCGAGTAAATACTGTAGAATATAAAAATACCACAACGTTCACTGAATTCCAGTTGACAAATTAATGTCAAATTAAGAACTAAGCAGAAAAAACCAAGATATTTCCTATAGCTTACGAAATAACACACTATCTTTTTTCTATCTTAAAGCTAGTTAGTAGGGAAAGACAGAGGAAAGTGAATATATAGCATGAGGATCGACGCAGCTGAGCGTTTCGCGTTTTCATTTATGTACGGCAATACCCAATTTCGCACAAAAACCCAGTCTACATTTAAGACGAAAATGATAGATTCATCACTCTTGGTAAGGTTACACTGAAGCATTCAAGTTACAGTGAAGCATTCAAAATAGCTCATGCACGTTTAACGTGCCTATGTTCTGAACTTGCGCTTGGGTTGCAAACGATGACCAGCGCTAAGAATCTAAAGATTATTTAACCCGCGAAAAACGCTTTGTGATTAATGTAGACAACAGGAACATAAATTCTGCATATAAATGTAAAAGACTATTTTCACCTTTTTGTCTAGGAAAAAATGTTGTAGTCACATAACTTGAACTAAATTTCAAAGGAATTTAAGAGCATTTGCGTCTTTCGGATATTTCATTTGACACAAATATGGCTTTTATGAACTTCCGTAGAGTGAACAAATCCAAATACTATTTTTAGGTCTCTTTCGATTGTCGCTATGTCAGTAGCAAAGAAATAGAAGTTAGTAGGCAGTTTAAACTTCAGTAAAAAGTAAAGCATATATGAACTCACACTCACTGACCTGGGTCGTTTTGCTGATGCAGCGTCCTCACACACCGTTGACCGGCTTTTTCCCCTTTTCTTTTGTTTTCTAAACTTACGCTTGCGTTCCAAACGATGATCAGCGTTAAGAATCTAAAGACAATCAGTTAACGTGCGAAAAACGCTTTGTGACTAATGTAGACAACAGGGAACATAAATTCTTGCTTTTAATTGTAAAATACGACTATTTTCAAATTTCTGTGTTGGAAAATATGTTGTAGTCACAAAATGTGAACTAAATTTCAGTGGAAACTAAGTAGAGCATTTGCATTTTTCACATATTTAATGTGACGCAAATGTGGTCGGTTCTATGAACTGCCAAGGAGGAGACAAAACCAAATTTTGTTTTTTAGGCCTCATTTGATTGCCCCTGTGTCAATAGTAAAGAAGTAGAAGTAAGCTGCTTAAATTTCAGTTAAAACAACGTCTATTTGAACTCACACCCACTAACCTTGATCGTTTTGCTGGTGCAGCCTCCTCACACACGGTTTGACTTTTTTCCTTTTGCTTTCTAAATTTGCAGCTTGCGTTGTAAACGATTGAATCTAAAGACAATTTAACCTACATTTAACCGCTTTGCGATTAATGTAGACAACGCCTACATAAACAATCAAGAAGCAAAAATTGCTAGTTTTAGTTTCATCCAATAGCGTCTTCTCAGAAACTAGCTGTATCGTAGTAGAGTAGTAATTTAAATAAATAATTTGTGCGGCGGATCCACAATTAGCTCAATTGTCTATCATTGCTCAGTTCCTTTAAAAGTCAAATGAGGTCACTGCGCTCTCCTTAACAACTTAAACCAATGAAATATTTGCTTCTCGTGACAGGCTTTTACTAGGCAGGCAAGTGATGTGTCAAAAAATTTTGTATAGGTTTAAATGGCTACAACGTTTTTATTCCCCATTCCTCTTAGAACTATTTAACTATTTAACTATTTGTACATTCATAATTTTTCATGAAAATTGTTAGGCTTTGTTAGGTTTTGCAAATATTCTACTTTGTCGCGCGCTATTTCTGGCTAGAAATGACAACACCATTTAGAATTTTTAATTTGTGTAAGACAACCATTAAGTTTCGACGACAGTCTCCACATAATTTTCCCGTTTTTGTCATAATAGCGAAGACAAATTGAAAAAAGGGAACAAAACATTACGTGTGTGATTGTCTGGGAAAATAGGGCCACCTGTCTGAAAAATACACTGCGTTTTCTACAAGACTTGAAACAGGGACGATAACAAATTCCATAAAGATTACGTGTGGAGTTCTTACATAAGGAGGTTAAAGTTTGAATTTGAACACAGTGTTTCCAGACTAATCTATTCTTTTTAATCATATTGGTGGCGGACTCGTCTTGAACAAGAACAATACCCTCCCATAAGGCGTTGCGGGCATGAAGGTAGACTGGTGAACGTATCTTTTAACATAACATGTAATAATCATAATCATAATCATAAGACGAAATCTGAAGGCAACAACGGCTTACCTTGTGAAGAACAGTTCGAATCTCAAGTGCCAGAAGGTGAAGCTGCAAGGTTTTGGACACATCAGTGTCCTTGGACGGCGAAGGGTTGGAGAATGTTCGATACTGCAAAGCTCCTGTTGTAAGTCTAGCCCAGGGAGAAGTGAAACCTCTGATGCGACAGGTTTACTGGCCGTGGGATTCTCGCTATTTAGCTGGAGGCGGGAAATTACGCGTCGAAGGAGGATCTTTTGTCCTACATCAAAACCCATGTCCGCCAAACCCCGTTCAGTAACTGTGGCAAAAAACGACTTGGAGGTGACCTAGTTCTGTGCCAGAATGTCCACGATTTCCTCAGGGACATCGTTAGAACAAAATGATAAAGGAGAAAGGAGCAGAAGGCTTTTTCTTGCTTGGTCGTTTTGAGAGGCATTACGAGAATTAGATATGCGTAAAGAAATATGGGTGATACTATGCCAAAATCGGCCACGAAAATATTACGAAGCAAGGGCAATCACGCAAACTCGCAATTTGCCCAGTGTAATTATACTAAACTGAACGAACTACGTATTATAATGCTATTTGATGAAATCCGATACTGTAAAATAATACTAATAATAATAATAATAAGAAGAAGAAGAAGAAGAAGAGCGGAGCGGCTCCAGTCTGGTCAACTGTTCCTTCTAATCATGGATTATTTACTTTGAGTCTCCTCATACTTTCTGGTGATATTTCACTCAACCCAAGACCTCTAAGATATCCATGCGAAATATGTGGCCAACCAGTGAGAAAAACTCGGAGCGCTATGTGCAAGGAGTGTTCAGTCTGGTTTTACCAAGCATGCTCGTATATTAAAAATTTTAACTTCACAACCTTGGAGAAGCACCCATCATACGTTAGGTCATGTTGCAACTGCGGCCTGACAAGTTTTTCCTCGTCAATGTTTTCATCTGGTATTGTTACCAGTAACAGATTTGATACGTTATCTGACTTTCCTTCTTCCTCCCCCTGAAACCCAACATGCACACAAGCTACATCTACCTATTTGTTCCGCCTCGGTTTTCCCCTGCACTTGTCTAGTCCTTCTCATCAGAAGACAGAGCAAAAGAAAAGAGATATAATGGACAACATCAAGCCGATTAGCATCTTTATTCCGGTACGAATCGCAAAAGTGATATACGGTCCGTGAAGAACTTTTTACGGTCCGTAAATTGCATCTCATTAGTGGGACGAATATTTTCATGGCAAGAGAGCGTAGACACGGTTTGTCGATCCAAAGAGATAACACGAATTGCAAAACTCGTATACTTAAGAGGTGTAGTAGGTTTATTGCAGGATTTTTTTAACAAAGCTCTTCCGCGCGCGCAGTTCAGCTGTTAGGCCAGGGCGGATAAAGCTTGGGCGGTGAAACGAGCGCTCCGCTCTTCATTTAATGTGTGATGCGGAGTAGGACTGGCACGAGCGCTCTTTCCGCGCTTCCGGTGCGCTTCAAGGCCGGCGAAATTTTCCTTTTTGCAAACCGGAAATACTATTT